TCTTTGAGAAAGGTAAACATTTAAAGGTCTAGGCGGGAAAGAGGCTTTGTGAGTTTATATTTAGATTTTAAACTTTTCTGAATGCAGCATACGTTTAAATTAAAAAATTATTATGTTTTCATTTATTTATACAAAAAAAGAAAAAAATATTTAACCGATTGAATGTTGGCTGCTCTAATCACTGAACTCAAGTGAAAAACGAGCACTTTTTGCCAAAATTATAACATGTATTTTTTTTTTGGAAAAATACATTACTTTTCCAACATCTCCTTATTTCTTATTTTAATAATATAATATTCTTGTTTTAGTAATATAATTTAGTAATATAAAAATATTAAATAATAAAAAAAATAAAAAAAGTGTTTAAGGAAAAGATTACATTGAAATAGACAGAATTCGGAAAAATAACTAAAATGTGTATTTATCGGATATTGTTTTAAATAATCCCCCCCCCCCCCCCCGCCAGTCCAGATATTTGAAAAGTGTTATGAAGGATATGAAAGAGTACACCTATAATATACAACCAAATCAAATACAAAATTTTAATTTCAGGAATTTTACTGTTCGGAAAATAATTTTACGAAACCTAGTGTATGAAAAACAGTGGAAAACAGAAAACCGTACAAAAATAATAGCATTCTCGATTAGTTACCGCTGTCCGGAAATCTGTATGCACAGATACATAATATAAAATAGAATAATTCCAGATACTAATTTCGCGTTTCGAAATCTACAATTGGAAATATACAATTTGGCAACGGATTTCATTTTACTTAAGTAACTTTCACCATTTTACTTATTACATCATTATACATAATTCTCCAATTTACTGTTCAAACGTAGAATATGCTAAGAAAACCAGTGACACAGACAAAGTATATAACATATCCTCTGTGCATTGTTAGGTAGTCAACAATGCCAGTGACTTCTCTCCCAGTCGGTATTTCAGATCTTGAGATTCCGTTCAATGTGCAATTTATCTTTTTAGTCAGTGTTATAATACAAACTTCCAACTTCAACTTTTACTTTTTAACGAGTAATATAAAAAAAAAAATTTTTTTTAAAGTGGAAACTAAGGATTGATTATTCGCAACGTTAAAACCCAAAAGTGTTTTGAATTCCGAGTTTTTTCGTGATTTGAAAAACTTTAGTAAAAAAAAAAACCATAAAATCAATGAATAAAGAATCACTTGCAGCGTGAATAAATAATGTTCGATTCAAATGTACCTCAAATGTTCGATGCAATACATATATACTTCACTAATTTTAGAATGACAGTGTAAAATATTTAAACCTAAAGAAAGTATAAAAAAGAAATATTACACTAGAATTAATAATATGATGTGAGAGACTTTTTAGTATAGCCGAAATAATAGTCGACAAGAAAAGAAGTAGATCAAATTCAGAAAGATTTCGAATATTAGTGTTCTTAACCACTTGTGCTAGCAACTAATTGCGGACCATAACGAGTAACCAAACCGTATACAATAATTCGTCGCTTTCTTTTTTAACTCGTCGGTATGATATCACTGGATAGAAATTATGGAGAAATAATAAACTTATTATTTGTTTTGCCTATTTTATTTTACTTAAATTTACTTAAAACTGAGAAAATATTACAATTTTGGAACAAAATGTGCATGGCACGTCATTCCAGCGCAAGAGGTTAAACAAACTGGATTAGATATTTTTCTATGTTGTCATGTTTTTGCTTGTATTTTGTTTGTAATCAATAAAAATATATATATAGGAGTATTTTTAAGACAACACATTCCTATTACAAAATAAAATTATCATTTCAAATTTCGATAGTTCCGAAATCTTACAAATTTAAAAAAATTTAAAAATTAGTTTCCCATTTCTATTGGAAACGAAGTTTAATCATACTGATTATAGATGGGACATTTTATAGATACTGCGGCCGATATCGTATCATCTTGATGATTACTTCTGACAGTAACAACTGCAGTAAAAACTATGCATTGATAACATCTGTATAGACAAAATTCAATGTATTGTACCAAAAGTTTTTTATTAATATCTGGGAATAAATATCCGATTTCTTGTTGATTCAGACTTAACGCTTTTCAAAACTAAAGCCAACACTTATGAAAAATAAACAAATCTTCAATTGATCACTTTCCTCCAAAACTTTTTTATATTTTGAAAGACAATGTATGAAACACATGTGAAATGCATTTTTCTCTGGCTACGAAAAGAAAAATATATCATTACTACTTAAGAAACAACGATGACTTGAAAACTCGAAAAAAAAATAATTTTGTTGTTTGAAACTAAATAATTTTGTCTTGACATATTTTTTTTTGGACCGATAAAAATAACGAAGATATTGGGATGAGTAAGATAAAAGAAACATTCTATATTTATGGTTCGTTCCTTGACTTGGCCGTTTCCTATGAATGTCCATAAAGTGGCCCACTTCAAAGGAAGTACGTGCTATCTCTTAAACAAGTTTGAACATTTTCGTGTACCAAGACTGAGTCTTAATTGTCATTTGTTCAACTGAAATGCGAACTAACGTTAGAGAATTATGTGTATTGATATCAGTAAACAAATTTAAAAAAACGGATCGTACATCAGATTTCGTTACCATGTACTGACTGCATAAGTGCATAACAACAATAAATAACAATAATAAATCTGGACGAATCTACAAATGTAGAATCACCTAAACAGATCATATAATAAATATATTTGTCAGTGGCCCGTTGAGTAACATAATATGACGCTTGTCTGCAGTGTTGTTACGTACAGAGTATCAAAAAATTATTTGTTATAGCTTTGAAAGATTCTACATAAATAAATTCTATACTTTGAAATTAGTAGAGATCTGTTTAAAAAGTGGCTTGCAAAATCAATTTTCAAATTCTTTTTTATTGTATTATATTCTATTTAACCCGGGATTACCCACGTGAAGGTCTAGTCGCCGGGATGTACCTGCGCTAGACCCCCAGGTGGGTAATCCCGGGTTAATATTTCTAAGAAACCATAAATCACAATTTAATTATTTTCGTAGGAAAAAATGTTAAAGTTTCGTTAGTTTTCGAACTCACTTTATTTGTAACATGCTTACATTCTACAGTTAGATACAGGGGAAATAATATCTATCGTTGCACGTAGACCATTATACATCTCATGTCTTTCTTCCTTCTTCTTTTTGTTTTTTTCTCTTCGCTATTCAAAATAATCCCGAAATAAAATTTCTACATTTCACCCGAATTGAATCACGTTCAATTTGGTGTTTTAACTGTTTGTAACGGATTTGTAATCTATTCACTCGAATTGTAAACAACTTTTTTCCTGCAAATAAAAAAATTGCATTGCCATCAAGTCTTATGAACAAAAAGCATATATAATAGTAATCAGTGGTAATAACACGTGAATAATAAAATAAGAGAGCCAATAAAGACACTGTAAGACTGCTGTAAAGTGTAAACAAATTTTGAGTTAGAACATTACAAATAAAGTGAGTTCGAAAACTAATGAAACTTTAACATTTTTTCCCAAAAGAATGATTGAATTTTGAAAACTTTTTCTCCTTATAACAAGTAGAACACGATGTAATAAAAAAAATTTGATGTCGAAAATTCCGAGGATGTTCAAACCAATTCCAAAGTTTTGATGAATCTTTTAATGCTGAATCATAACTAAAAAAAAAAATACGCATCTGTTATTTTTGACAATTTTTCAAAGTTTCATCCAAATCGAATTCGGACTGTTGTGACTTTTCCTTGTTAATTAAAGATACGTTATTTTATAAACTTTTTGTAACTTTGTTTAAAAATATCTTATTTTCTGTTTGTCACTTCATTCGGAAATCTTATTACATAGTTAATTGAATAATATACTGCATAGTTCAATATATTAAAGGGTGGCACAAATACATAAATAAATCAACAGAAGAGAATCAAACAGTACCCACCATTCTAAATTCTTCTGATATATGACTTTTAGGTAAAACTCAACAAACAACAAATGAATTCATCATTTCAATCGAACTCATTAATTGAATGAAAATTATTTTTAGATTTAACAATAAATATTGATAATTTGCAAAAGTAAAAAAGTAACTATCGTAGGAAAAGAATCGACCAATTATTAAATTAGTAAATTTTTAGATCTAAATGATTAACAATGTTAAAAAAGAGACACATAGTTAGTATGATAGAAGATTTTTATTCAAATTTTATTTTTACAGATATCGCAAATAAAATAATGAATATTTGCCTGATCTATGTATTCGTTATTTATTCAATCTGTTTTAGAACTTCAGATATGTATATTTCTACGGAAAAAGTTAGAAGAACGACTAAACGATCATATTATAATTTAATTCTAATTGCCAACAGATGGAATTTGCAAATAAAAGAAATTTGTTTTCTTTGGTTGGCAATCTGTTAATTAATTTGAGCAATACAGCTCAATGATCGATATTGTACGATAAACACATTAGATCATAGTGTATTATATATAAAAAAAAAAATTACAAGACTTTTCGGATATTTAATAGATTAGAGATATAAATAAAACAGGATCATTTACCTGCCTGAAAAAAATTAACTTTAAAAAATTTTTAACTTACTGAATATCAATCTATAAATTTATTTCCCGAACAGTGAAGTAAATAATATAATTCTAAAAGTTTCCTGATAATATTTAGGATTGTGATATTTATTTGCTCATTCAAATAAAGTACTAATATCTGGTAAATAAAAATGAAACCTAGTTAGTCGATACTGGGTGATTCTCTCTTATACCATCATCAAAAGGGAGATTGTTGTATATTTAATTCAAAACGGAAAAGACTTAGACTTAGAAATATAATGTAGTGAAACATTTCGTTGCTATATTTTATTTATCGTACAAAAAAAAATTGCTGTCAGGCAATAGTTTAGTTTTTCCTACTTAGTTGATTGATTGTAAAGTTATTTTTATTGTCAATTAGTCTTAACTTTTTTCTTTTTATTCTTTTATTTTAGAAAATGTAAGCATCATCGGCTCGGATGATATGACCACCTGTATAATTGTCGTCGTAAGGCATTCTGGTAAGTGTTAATGTATTAGTTATTTATATTATAATTACAATTATTAAAAACAATACATAGATGAATAATTAGAACGAATGAAGACAATTGAATACACGCGCCATGTGGGTGCTTATACAAACATGCGGGCACATATTAAATGTACAATATTTATGAATCAATACAAAATACGTTTGATCGTCTTGCCCAGGTTCAGGTGCTGCTGCGTTGGCCCACTTGGATGGAGCTGGCACAGAAGATGCGGCAGCAGCGATGATCCAGAGAGTAACCGAGCTTGCCCTTGGATTTCCTGAGGGTCGTCTAGAACTACAACTCGTCGGTGGTTATTCCGATCCAAGAAATTATTCCGAAGAACTGTTTTGCAATATTCTTTGTAAGTTTTTTTTCACTTTTTTCCTCTCTCTTTTCTTGTATGTTTACTTCGATGAAATATTAAGAGACATTTTGTTTCGATTTTAGCGGCATTTCACAAACAGCCTGTGGAGATCGATCTAACTCTATGTTGTGTAGGCGAATTAAACACTACAGTAAGAGGTGGTATCCATTGGCCGGTAATATACGGCATTGGTTTGAATGTAAAAACAGGCGAGATTTTCCCTGCAACCTTTCCTGATAAGGGACCCGATCAAGCGCTGAGATGCGCTAGGCATTTAACTGGAGGTCAACAAGTACGTATGTAAAAATATTTCAAAGAAATCGCAGTATATCTAAATCGACTCTGTAATTGTAACGAATTCGTTACAAATTCTGTTAAATAAAATAATAAATTAGTTATAATGTTAACTGTAAGTAATAATATATGTAACATATAATGAGAATGATCCAAATTTTATATGGTTAATATCGTTAATATCGTGTATAGGTTTTGGATGTTTACGACTGTACACTTGGTTTACTCAGAATCGGACCATTCAACTATGATCCTTTAAGAGGAGTCGACCTTTGGTTAGCACAATCCGATCAATTTATTCTACAACATCTTTCGACTGCGCCGGAAGTCGAACTGCCACATTTTGTATCACAGGTAATGTAATATAACCTGTTAAATTAAATTACAAGATTAACGGTGGAATAAATATTTTTAACTTGATGTATGTTTTATTCCTGTTTGTTCACCTTCGTCGAAATAATTTGTCTAGGTACGCGCTACGCTCAAATATATACAGGACAATCAATTTCCGGCTGTCACCGTCTTCCGTGATAATAGACCCCATTATTATCGTCGGGACGAAACCACCGGTATTTGGCAACCCATACGATATTGATATTGATTATTCAAATTATACATAAAGACTTATAAGAAAAATATCACTAAAGTGGCGACTAGTGAAATTTCTTCCTGATAACACAAGATTCCACAAATACGAAGAAATAATGAATCGAAGAAATTTTGTTACGAAAACTCTCTTCTGTAATAACATGAATCAGTATGATGATTTGTTTATATCATGTGTTTTATATTATCTGGTATTGTTAATGAAATATGTCTTTTTGTGTTTATTATTTCCAAAATAGGCGTACAATATCGCTGAATGTGATATAAAGGCATATACGATTTATAGTTTATTTCATTTTTTACCTATGATATTTAAAAATAAGACGTACAACAACTGGTCTTTCGATCTTTACAACAACTAATTTGAAAGCGCAACGATAAAAAAAGAAAGAAGATAATTTTGTTAGAATAATACTTTTGGATGATTATTATTAAGCACGGTAATGTAAGAGTTTATACTCTCCGATGGAGTGAGAGTGAGAGTGAGAGTGAGAGAGAGAGAGATGTGATTGTTAATTCCTTTATTTTTTATTTTCTTTTCCAAGAAATCTTTATAATAAATTAAAGATTGTTATATACAACAATTTCAGTTCGAAATGCTATCGTATTTTTAGATATATACATTTTCTTCGTTGTTTTTTTATCCGTTTAACAACAATATACAATCGTAACACTTTATTTTTAATGCAAGAAAATATGAAGATTTATAGCAGAATTGAAACGATTCGAACTTTTTTTTTGCAAATATTTTGTACGTAACTCGTGTTTCAAATTCACATGCAATGTTGCACGTAATTTTCTTTTTTCCTCGCAATGCAAAATAGACGAGTTAGCGAATGAACATTTAATATTTTCTATAAAAGCAAAACGTTTACCAAAAAGCCAGAAAAATCAATAGTGTTGTAAATAATTACATATATTGATGTTGCTGGTTTTGCAAAGAAAGAATATTTTATTAATTGAAAAAAAATGAAAAAAAGAAAAAAGTCTCATAATCTGTTATTTGAGACTGTGTATATATATATATGTCTACTCTATTATTATTCTCTATTCACTTCTTCAAAGAATAGATAATTCAGAAACAAATATTTTGTGGCAATACTGTAGGTAAAATATTAATTTGAACATCCTATTCGAATAATTTCGTTATGTAAATGATTAGAACTTGAAATGATTTAATGTACAGATTGTGGGTTATATTGGAAAAGAAATAAATGAAAACAATTACGCTTATTCTTTACAATGGTGTGCTATGACTGAATAAGATAAGTTACTTTTATATGAAAACAGTAAACAATTTTCATTATTCTCCATTATCTTAATGAAACAGTAATTATAAAAAGATTTTAAAGAAAAGATATATATATATAGCTAAATGACTTTACGTCGCTGCTTACATGATCTAGTAAAAATATATATATATATATATATATATATATATTTTATTACATCATGTAAGTAGCAACGTAAAATCATTTAGCTTTGTGATGCTTGAGACTCGTAACCATTAGTAATAGCACTAACCGTTGATATTAATATTAATATTGATATAAATTGTGATTTAAAGTGAGAAAATACTTAAAGAAAAATGCTTACTAAAGAAAACTTATATGTAACAATTATCCATCGGTTCAATTAATAATATTTTACAGACTTGATTGCTTTCGTATTTGTATCATACAACTTTCTTTACAATGTAGTTCTAATATTTTCTTTACCTTGTCTTTACTTCCTCATCTTTCATCTCATTGTATTATTTTCACAAACTTTCTATTCAGTTTCTCTCCTTTTATTTTCTCTTGTTACAAATTGCAAAAGTAATTTTCTAATAACATTTTGTGGTGATATATTTATACAATAAAGGCTGAATTAAACACTTTCATGATAATTGCGTATCATTTTATCGACACAAAATGACCAGTTCCAAATAATTGACTCATTTGCAATACAAGTCTATTTGTTTATAATGCTTCAAACGTTTCAAAGGCTGTGCATATTGAATTATATTTATAATGCTTGTATCAAATATTATAATTAAATAATATATATTTAAATAATCATCGACGATTAACTTTCTTTTTTCTATACGTATGCAATCGGTCAAAAACTGCGCAAATCTTCCGATTAATATTAATTTTTTAAACGAAATAGATGAAATTATAAATTAGACATTAATTAGATAAATTAAACAAATTTATTATTGATCGACATACTTGTGCAAAACTTTGGAAGAATACTTCAATCAGAATAATATCCATCAAATTCATCGACGTGAGTACTAATTACTTTAAAATCTATTAATATTATTTATTACTTTAAAACCTAATTATCTGTAGACGTTAAATGTCTAAATGAATGTCTTTAAAATTTAACTCAATATTTTACAAATTTCAAAAAAGACAACAAGTATAATAATATAATATTCTCGGAAAGCAATTAACATAATTTATATGCATGTAAGAAGAAAGAAAAGAAAACAAGAAAACAATCCATGAGAATTTTTTACGTGCAGATTAAATGATAGGAACATGAAAAAATAATTAATACAAAATATTTTATTTCTTTATAAGTATAAAATTTTATTTCTAATTCTCTTTTGATACGATATAAAAAAAATCTATTTTTATAATTTCAAAATGTATGCAGATACACAGTTGACTTTTGTTATTCATTTTTGCTATTCTAGCCACGTCGGAATCTTAACTATCCATACCCAATTGTTTATTTTGTATTATGAGAAATTAATTTTATTTTGTTACATATATGCGTATGCGCTTCAAGCGAATTCTAATTAAAAATCAATCTAGAGAAACATTTCGGCCGAAATATACCATGATAGTTATAAATTGTCGATAAATAAAGATTTGATAATATGAAGATAATCGATTTTGCAATAAGTCGTAGCTGTTCGAAGTTATTAAATAAAATATGTCTACATTTAATGTAGACGTACATGCATGCGTACATGTTGAAATATGTTTTTCCTCTAACACTTTCTACATGTATCTGACTTTATAAAAAGCATCGCAATATCATTTTATACGTACTTACATTTACATACATTTGATTATTAATGTTAATTAAACAAACAGTATTGTTGATAATAATAATTATTATTGATAATAATTGATTTGTATATTTCTCAAATTTCATGCACGGAGTTGTAATGAGAAAAAAAAAATGGATGCCCATCATACAGGTACGATCGACCGCATTATCGGAAAATAAATAATGCTGCGCACGCTCCTTAAAGGGAAGTTGATTTTCATAGTACCCGGCAGCCAACGCAAGTCATAACAGAACTCTTCGAAAGGGGTTATTCAGTGTTGCTTTGACAGCAGCTGAGATTGGAGTTGGATCTGTTTTTCCCTTATCATATTCATGCACGTTATCAAACCGACGATCTGTTTCGTTACATCTTAGATTAGAATCTACTAGTGATTATATTTATCTTTTGGTAAGTTATGGTTTTTCACATTTTTCAAACACAACTTACAAAATAATATACTTTAAAACCGATTGCTTTCAGCACAATGTTCGTATATAAATAAATGTTTCCCTTGCACTTCCCTTTTTACGTCGTTAATTAAACTGTACATCGGCACTTTCTTTTACTTTGATAACAAAAATAAAAACGAGAAAACAATAAATATTCGTTTCGCGAACCGAAAAATATAATCGTTACAACATATAATTACAACCGTCCGATATAATGGAATAAATTATTTTTAAATTACCTGTGCATATTGTATGTATTATTATATACATATTATACACCATTTAACGATAAATTAAAAAGACATTAAAAAACATGCTTCCAAATATGTACTTGTAACAGTAATTAGCGTTTTACATACACTTTTACTTCATGAAACTATCACAAATATCCTTTCCCCATATGTATTTTTATACACATTCGTCATGCATAATACCAGAATTGCATTCTTTGTTGTTATAGTCGTTTGATGTACGTATGTATGTACGTTTTTCATTTTTTTCTTCTTTCTTTTTTAAAATGTTTTTCCTGTTTATATTGTTTTCCAAAAATGAAAAATATGTTTTTTTCTACCCACTTTTATATTCAAAAAGGATTTAAGACTTTTAAGGTTATGTATAGTAATTTTTTTCAATCGTAAGGACATCAACTATATATATATATGTGTGTGTGTATGTGTATGCGTGTGTGCAAATATATTTGTCAATGTATGCATGTTGTATCACTAATGCAGACATATTATATTAATAAAATGAAACACAAAGTTTATTCGAACGAAAGTAACACAAAAAAAGAGTGTTGAAATTTTAAAATTAATCGAATATAGCCGAAGTAGTGACAACACAACGTGATCGGTGTCTTAAAAATTTTATACATATATATGTACAATATGTATATGTATGTTATGTGTGTTTGTGTAAAACATTTTATATCAGAATAGTTTATGAATAAACATTAAATGCATTTCTAATCGAATTTAAAATTTTCATCTGACTATATAACTATTGTTCTTCATGTAAAGTATTCGAATTAAAAAATTCAAATATAAAAGCTAAACTAAAAAATTATTGATTGAATGCTCGATTAGAAATTTTAATTGTAATAATTATGAAAAAATCTGTCGAATCTGATGAATTGAAATTTGATTAATATTACTTCAAGAAAACGTGGAAATTTATGTATTCATATGTTAAGAATATCATCATTTTGACAATACAACGTTCGAGATCACAAATTTTTGCAAGAAGTCTGATTTTTTATATTTATATTTTTCATGTTTCATTCGTTTTATTAATTTTCAAATAGGACAGATTTAATTATAACATTATTATAAACATTGTTTCAATATTTTTAGATCCATATTTTCTTTTTGTTCGACATAAGGAAATTGATTATTGTTCCTTTAACAGACATTGTAAGTTTACCAAAAAAAGAAACAATTAATTGCAAGAGATATGCCGTAAGATTAAAATAAAAAGAAAATATAAAATATTAAAGAAAATAATCGATTATTAAAATTTTTCATGGTAATATTTTAAAAAAGCAAAACATGGTTTAGAATATCTTTTCTTGTAGCAATTTTAAACTTGAAAGTTTATCATTATCATCATATTATAATCACTATCAGGCCATACATTTTCTGTAGATTTTTTTTTTAAATCTGCTATTCCTGACATACTTTTGTACATATACTACGTATATACATACATATATTGCCATTTTTTCTCGTGAACACCTACTTCAATGAAATCACTCATTTCTGATTTCTTTCATTTATTTTACTTCACGTCATCCACGGTCCTATTTTATCTATCTTTTCCACTTTAGAAGAGGACATGATTATTCTTGATCAACTCAGTTATTTTATTTACCATCTATGTCGAGAATTGAAATTGAGATGTGTTCATTAATCTTAGATTGTTTTGCAATACAGAACAGGCAACATGCATAAAATAAATGTTTTAAAAAATAAGTTTTGATTACTGCGTCATATGATGGATGGAGGATCGACCTTTGACATTAACACAGGACCGATAATTATTTCCGGTTACCTTACACACAGAGATTATAATTAATAAATAAAATTAATTAATAAAATAAAATTAATATTAAATAATTAATATTGAAAAAATGTAGATAGACTAGAAAGAAATAATCGTTGTTAATTAATGAAATCGTTAGAAAAATCATGAAATATTCGTCATGTATTCTATATAATGTATGTTAAAAATTGGAAGATGGCATATGCAAACAAAAAAGCAAGAAAAAAAACATTGTGTACAATTATGGACAACTTTGATTTATGATTTCAACGCGATGCAACACAACGTAACACATTTGCAACTGCTCACAACAAAGTACTTTATATACAGAATGCATTCGAATTACAAGCGGGTGGGAAGTGATTCTTTGTAAAAAAAAAATAAGAAAAAAATATAGATTCGTTCGTCCAAGATATGACTTTTCGTGCGAAGTACAATATTGTTAATAATAAAATGTTCCTGTAAAATAACATTTATGCACTTCAATTGCACTTAAGATCTCTAGAATATCGCGCAAGAATTGTTTACAAAGAAAATCGGTATTGTGCTCTATGCGAAAAGCTGTATTTCAGCCGTAACTGCATGCGTACGCACTGGATATTCAAACTTTCTTTATCTTGTAAACTAAAAGTTGCAAAAAAAAAATTTTCTATATTTTTTTCTTATTCTTTCACAAGGAATCACCTCCCATTCGCTTGACATGTTATTTAGACGCACCTTGTATGTAGACACAGTAAAACTATACTGCGGAACTGTGTACATTGTACACTGTCGCCACACAACGATGAACCACTGAGATCGTCGATTTTTTATCTCGTAGATTATTACTTGTTTATTATACACATGTTGTACGTACAGTGATGAGCAAAACTGAACACACACGTGAAATTTTAACACTTACACATAATATTTTATTAAATATTTGCATGTAGACTACAAAAAAGAATAAAATATGCATTGTTTTGTAGGATGTTTTGGCTTTCCAAAAAATATTTTATGTTCTTGCAAATATAAATTGTTTTTATCGAATCAGTCTTGCATAGCAATTAATTTAAATTAAAAATTGTCAATATTTTAAATTTCGTAAAAAGAAATCGTATAACAATATACTTGGTCTTATTTTATAGCATAAAGTTCTATTTTGACTGTCCTGATTTCGTTTTTTTCCCCAAAGATGTTTAGATACTTACAATTAGATGCTTAGATTAAGCACATGAAAAAGTGTTCTTTTCTTTTTAAAAGGATTGTAAAAATTCACAGTAAAAAATTTTACTTACGACTAAATCTGTGATTGTCTTGAAGATTGACGCTTCCTCACTACAATGATTCCCTAAATTTAATTTCGAATTATGAATTTTAAATATTACGATTAAAGGACAAAAATTCAAAAAATTCCAAATTTCATCATCTAACCCTAACGTTTCAATGAAACAGCAAAAAAAAAAAAATTGTACAGAAGGCTTTAAAGAGTTGTAAAGAAAAAATTTCAATTTTCAAAAACATGTTGGAGCAAGTCATGAAAAAAATTTTTTAATATCTTCAAAAATGTTTAAATCTTTACAATTTTCGAGAATAAAAATACTCTCATTTTCCCATCTACTACATGATGCATGTAAAAACATCTTTAAAACAAACTTTTTTCAAAGAAGTCAAACGATAGAAACCTTACGCTTTAAAATCGGACTAAGTAAACTTGTTATATAATTTTATAAAGATGTACGAATTTAAAATATCGAATTTTTTATCATTATGTGTTCAGTTGTGCTCTTACAGATGTATATATACATGTATACATATAAGTATATTAAAATGGCTTTGTCGAGTGTATTCAAAGTGACTAATTTTTTTTATTGTAATGATTCATCTTATATAACGTATATATGTAACCTTGTATCTTTCTTTCTTTCCTCATTTGGATTAATTAGTTGACAAGAATTTGAAACAATACTAACTAGGGATCGTAATATATTAAGCTGGGAAGCTTATAACACTAGTTGCAAATTTATGACTTTAAATTAGGTTTGGTTTAGCTTCAAGTACTATATTTATGTTTTCAATAGATACATCTTTTTTTCTTTATTTATTTTAATATATAAATTTATTTTCTGAAATAAATAGGCATTTCTAACATGTAAGCGAACAGCGGACATACTAATACGAAAACCGGCCGGGAATTATCTACACAAATACTGCTCTTTCAAAGCGTTACAATGAACAGTAACATCAATCGAATCTAGTTTTGATTCTTGCGAATATCTCGAAAACTAAAAGATCATTACATGTATAGAAAAAGATTTAAAAATTATTCTCATAATTATCTTCTAAATTTTTAATTTCAACTATTACGGTGTCTTCAATTAATTCAAATGCCATGTCTTGTATTAATCTATTTCCATGTTACAGCTGCTTTTTATATTATTTTTCGTCTCTGTGCTTTTTCATTTTTAAAAATTCAATGACTCACAATAAAGGGAAAGGCTGTTTGTAACATTAAATAGAGATGTCACAGTCATAGTTGCCTCGCTTCCTTTTCACTTAAGATACGAGACAATAGAAGCAACAATCGGTTGAGGCAGCTTCGTAGGATCTATGTATATGTATATGTATATGTATGCACATGCGTAGCTTCTCTTCTGGAATTATGAGGATCACGCCACTTATAGCGAATCTTTTTTCTCCACACTTGATTCTAGAATTACTGACTTGTAATATATGTATAACTTACTTAAATACATATATTATCAGTTCAGTACTCGTGTGCTCGATTGATTTTCAAATGCATTTTTCTCGAAAACGAAGCTCCCAACGTCATTTTTTGATTTTCGTCTTATTTTGCGAGCCTTATTAAATCGCCCTGATCCAATTTGTATTATGACTTATACGACATCTTATGTAGATAATTAAACTAGTATGTTAGAA